TAATCACCACCATTCGTTATGCACTTTTGCAAGCGATGAACAAGAGCCTGTATGCTGTGCCCGTAAAAGTCTGCGCCAGCAGAGGATAGCCACTTTCTTACAGCTGCAATGACAGCAACATTGTCTGGAAAATACTGCCCACGTAGTCCATCTTTCATAGGCTCAAAGAGATGGAAGGCTCAAGGTGCTAAATCGGGGCTATAAGGTGGATGTGGTAGAACAGTCCTGCCAAACTTTGCAATGTGCGTGGTGGTCGCCAAACTGGTATGAGGTCTAGAGTTATCATGCTGCAAGCAAAAGGTTGTCTGCTTCTCTGGCCTGACTCAGGAAATGCAGGCTTTCAGCTTAGTCAGCGTCGTCTTGTAGCATTCAGAATTGACAGGCTCACCAGGCTCCAGGAAATCCAACAAAATCACACCCCGCCTATCTCAAAAGACCATGCACATCACCTTCCCTGCCAATGGCTGTGTCTTGAACTTCTTCTTTCTTGGGGAATCCAGATGTCACCACTCCATGGACTGTCTTTTGGATTCCGGCTCGTAGCGGTGACACGTCTCATCTCCGGTGATGATGCTGTCCAGAAACTTGTCACCTTCAGCCTCAAACTGGTGCAACAGGTCCTGACAGACTTCCTTTTGATGAGTTTTGTGGTCCTGTGTAAGCATCCGCGGGACCCATAAGGAACAAACTTTGCGATAATCCAGCTTCCCCAACATTTTTTTAATGCATTACAGCTGATATTATGCTGTGCACACAGTTCTCTGGTCATTATCTGCCGATCTGTAGGGATGAGGCACTGTTCATTGTGCGGAGTGGCAGCTGAGCAGGGATGCCCAAGGTGTGGTTTGTCGCGCACTTCACTTTTGCCACTGTTAAAACGCACTACCCACCGCCTCACTGTGCTGATATCCACTGTATCGTCTCTGTACACCTTTAGCAAGCGTTGATGGATGTCAATGGGTGCAATTTGCTCGGCAGTGAGAAATTCAATAACAAATCTGTTTCGTACGCACTTGTATGTCAGACAGACTATTCTGCTGTCGCTACTTGTCGCACGACAACCAAACTAACAGTATATTGGTGGGAAGGTTCAGCCTTTACTACAACACCACCAATATCCAGCTCGGACGTTACATATTAACACAAAAAAATAGGAGGCATTATATACGGAACACCCTTCATACAATGTTTTTCACCACCTGAAAATGATTGCAATAGTAAACTGTAGCATCAATCCACATTCCTCAACTTGAGATGACAGGTTCTGGGGGCAGTGGAACACCTGGAGCCATAGACTTAAACTGTATTTTATGAGTTGCAGCCTTGACAAACATCTTCTTCGTCCATGACAAGAGAGCATTCACTTGAGGAAATCTTGATCTCACTCCCTCTGTCACTTTATGAAGTACATGGGATACACAAGTAACGTGCACCAATTTCATATAAACAACTTTACTGACTTGCCTGCTTTTAAAATATATAAGGCCGCATCAGTCACGAAAAGCAAGATGTCGTCACGTCGCATACCCTCTGGTCACACTAGAATCATCAACCTGTAAAAGAGTTTACAAATTGTGGAATGATTAACGGATTCTAGCACCTCATCATAAGCAGAAACACTTCACCTGGTCCATCAATTTCCAAGGTTCCAATGATGATGCTTGCCATGTAGCGAGCCTCCATATCACAGGTCTCATCAATGGAATCGAAAATCTTCTTCCCATGTACTTTATTCCTAATCATTTCCAGGATATTGCTGTAGCACTTGGAAAGGTAGTTTTCCTTGAGGGTGGATTCATCAGAGATAGAACAACCACAATTCACTTCCAGAAAATTTTTCAGTGACCAAAACGAAATATTTGCAGACACAGATCTGTGAAAAAATCCGACGACTTATTTCCGCCTTCAGATGAACACTGTTGCAGTAACATTTGCACAGATTTCTTTTTGTTCAAAATTTGCACTGTTTGTATACGCTTGTTGCGGCCAATATGTTGTTGTACCATGAAACATTTTTTCTGCCATTAATTTTGTGTCACACATCTTACAGTATAAAATGTTACTGTCAGATGAAAATATATCATCTACAAATTCAGCTACAATCTGCTTTAAATAACACGATTTAGATGGCTTTGCTTTAGGCATCTTAATCTCATCTCCGGGATTTATATATTTACGGGCATCAAATACGATAAAGGGAAAGAAGATGACATGTCATGAAAATCCAGGCCCTGCTCATCATGGATGTTGAAAACTGACCCATGGCTAATGCAGATCTCAGGAACAACAGCTTCGATAGTTATGCAACTACTGAATAGGATCAAAGCTTCCACCTATGCCACAATTCCCAGTTCCTTGGCGAGAGACGGTCTTCCATTTTTGGGTTCAACTTCAAGGTTTGTCTGTCCACAGTGAAAGAGCTTCTTCCACCTGACCACTGTGTCATATGATGGTACACCTTCCTGATACACAGCGGTCATCTGGGCGTGGATCTCCCTGGCAGGCTTCCCTTGCAAATGCAGGAACCATATCACAGCATGAGCCTTCACTTTCTCAAATGACGTCACCATTTTGCTTCTGCCCCTTACAGTGGCTCCCTCTGTCCACTTGGCATGGGAAAATTTGACTGTTTGGCAAGCTCAGGAAATGGGCTACCTCATATACAGAATGTTTTGGAATTATGATTTTCTTATGGTGATAATTAAAATATTACGACTTCCCATCATAAAGCCATTTTCTATGTTGCTGAATGTCTTGAATGTGAAGCTGCAGCTTTGTCTACTCTGACTCCTTCAGTCCTTATTTACTGGTACCAACAAAAGACAAGTTATCAGTCATTCTAGCAGTAAGAATTATCAGGGCTTGATGTGATTTAATTTACAGTTCTTGATTGAAACTTGAGTGGCTTGGTTGAACATATATCCTTACATGACACAAATGTTGCTGGAAATTTCTGCCAAGAAAATATTATTTGTATTTAGAAGCTGACTGATGACTAATATTTCTATTTTAAGCGTAGAATCATACTGTCATGCTTATGATGGTACGTGTGACAAATGACGGGTTCTGGTTCGGATGATTGGATTTATTACAACACTTTGGTTACACGCTCTCTAATTACATTTAAATACAGGCAATACAGCGCTATCGCTGATTTACACACTTTCCACTTCACCGTTGAATATGCATTAGGATTCTCTTTCTTCCACTAGTCTTCTCCTTGCAACGGATCTCAACACAGAAACTGTCACTTCAAATCACTATAAATATTACACATAAAATCTTCCAATCACACTTTACATTTCTCATAGGCTGACCTCCTGTATTCTTCTGTAGTCCTGGTTCCAATCCACTTGCTTCCACCACTACTATTTCTCTCTCATAGTTAACTCCGAGAACTCACTCTGAGAACTGACTAACTGAACGATGACACTCATTTATATAGCCTAGGGACAGACAACACACATCATCGTAAACACATATCACGTGATCGCTACCCATTACTGTTGTGTGATGTCAACCCACTCACAGGAAACATGTCACGTGACAGCCACGTACTGTTGTGTGGTAAGATCTTTATTTAAGCTGTCATCCCTGAAGTAAAGTAACCATGTAAACTAAAGGGAATATCAACAGGGGAATGTAAGTATGGAGAAACACAACTTTCCAAAGATAACTGTCAAGAGTTCCTGCAGAGCATATGATCAACTTTAGCATGGAAAGTAGAGTCCTCTGGGTTGTAACACCATTGATTTCAGAGGAACATACTGCCTACATGTTCAGCTACCAAGGGTAAGCTGATGCAAGCAATAACCTCAGCTCAGCTTGCCTCTGATTCTGCTGGTTTCTTGCTTCACTTCCTGTTTGACCCTGAAGACTGGGCAATTATGTTCCTCTAAGAAATATAGCAACACAACCCAAGCAACCACATTCTTCATACTGATGGTCAGAATCTCAAATCCAACAGTGCAAGACGAGTTTCTTTAGGTCTGGATTACTTTATTTTGTGCAATTATCACCAACATGAGGATAAGTTTCTTCAGGCCTTGCTTCATTTAGAAAGAAGAGATCTTTCTTCTGGAATATAATGCCGTGCAGTCCCCTGAAGATGGAGGCAACACATTCCCCTGAAATGTTGGTTGACAAACTACATGGCATTACTTCCCATAATAGGACTCTTCATAACCACTGCTGTGAGAACCTCAAATCCTACATTCATTCAATTTATTTCATAGACTTTTGATCACCATGAGGATAGGTTACTTCAGGTCTTGATTCATTTTGTTTACTTCATATACATTTGATTAATGTTAGGTTAGGATTGTCTGGATGAACTCTCTCCAGGTTATATGGTTTTAGGTCAGCTTATAAAATTTCCATATTGAAGCTAGTATGTTGTAATAACCTTTCATTGCATTCATAGCAAAATTAATTGTCACTGAAATTCCAATTACAAACAACTTAATGAAATTCTAATTACAAACAACTTAAGCTTCATCATCATAGTCCAAAAACAATACACCTACTCATACGACTGTACACAAATGTTTTAATTCCTGTTTCATCTAATTCATGGTTTGGTGTATGCTGCATGCTTCCAACCATTACTTAAGAGATCAAAACAACTCATTATTCAAAATTCTGCACAAGTATAAATAAATACATGAAAAGGTGAAAAGTTGTATTGAATGCCATCACTATTTACGTTACTTAACCATGTGAAAAACATTCTTGTTGAGAAAAACATTATGGTTTATTACATTACACATGATTATTCAATGATGACTGCTTTGTATGAAGGACTGCAATATAAAATTTTCTGCAATTTGTACTATCCACTTATTTTAATCATTAACCTTAAAACAGCTGCACATTCTACTCCATTCTAAACGCGGAATCAATGAACAGGTGATCAGATCTGTATTTCAGTATAATTCACTTATATCATGCTGCAGTTGTGATAAAACGGCGTCAACAATTTAATAAGCTAGAAATACTACCCATTCAATTCCAACGCTTGAGATTTGCTCTTCCTCAATCAAACTATTTATAACTGGAATACGAGTTCAATGAACCGTAACTGAATATCTTAAATTCCTTCTCTCACACTCAAACAGAAAACATATCCACATACGGTATTTTCAATGCCTGTTAAGTTCGACAAAAATGTGATCCACCGCCATTGAATTTTAAAATACAAAATTGCAAGTGCCATCTCTGATAGAGGAATGAAACCTCAAAACAGCACAGATTTTTAACGCTACCTAGACGGACAACATTGAAATTATTTAATGTATTAACTCATCATTTGTACTAAGTTAGGAAGTGAAACGTTTCAAAGCAATAAAAATGTACACATAATGTTACACCGTCCTAATCTAACACAGTTGCAGGAAACAGAAACTTTGTTGTTCTTAGTCAGTAAATAAATAACCCAACATGTGCCTGTTACCAGTAACATTTGACACACGCAGATTGTGTTCGTAATTGTACAACGCTAAGTATTACTGAACACAGTGAATAAAAGCACAATAGTATACAGCTTACCTGATGGTGATACTAATCCTCTTCTCATACGTACGAGTAACTACGTAGTCATGCGACCAGCATGGCGCACATGTAGGTAAAGAAAGGCTATTTCTAGTATGATTCTATGTTTAGCACGAAAGCTGAAACACGGAAGAATACATGGCTGGTGGGATTTTCAAACCTCTGCAAGGTTAATTCGCCGTAAAGAACCGGCGTAGGACACGACGCATGGTAGCAACAATTTAGAATTCAGCATGCTGCTAGTTACATACGTAAACGTGCCACAAAAATCATAGAACACAGTCGCAATAAGCAAAGAATCATTTTAAGCAACAAAACTTACAAACAAACATGATCGTGTCATTTTCGTTACATTCCGAATACTGAAGAAAGGGAAAGAATAAGTCTTTCCAGCTTCTCTATGGTCGTGGAATATAGTTCTTTTTTTCTTTTAATTCGCTTAGTGGGGGGTGGAGTCCAACTGGGTCCACTCGGCACTGCAGCCATAGATTGGCCTATTGTAGCCTGCCTCGGGTGATTATGAAGATGGAGAATTTGGTGGAATGAAGATTGGCAGGGGAAACCGAAGTACTCGGAAAAAACCCGCCCCAGCGCCACTTTGTCCACCTCAAATCCCACTTGACCAGACCCGGGATCGAACCCGGACCGCCGCGCTGGGAAGCCAGCGAACAACCGCTTGAGCTATGGAGAACATGAATTTCAACTGGCAAACAGCACTCAAGAAACTGATTAGAGCTAAGAGGAATAATGATGGAAATGGAAGATGGTGTTACGAAACGAGAAACGTTGTGATTTAAGCAGTCATGTGGGTAGTATTGTACGGCAAAGGAGGTACAATGGACTGGAGATGCATCATATACGTGTATATGATACACATTATGTAAGTAAAGAGTTTTGGTAAGAAAAACATTTGTGGTTTTGGGCCATGATGCTGATATTTCAGATATATGGAGCCCCCATCTTCAGTGTGCCGGCAACTCACCAACCACCAAACTTCGACCCTGAAGAGGAAAGTAGCATATAGTGTACCTCTGCAATATCGGCATCATTGCCCGCAATCACACAGTGTTACATCCGAAGAACAGAATTAGCATAATAAAGATTGATGTTGGAAAAATAATTCGTGAGGATGGAAGGTAGGCTGAGGTGGCTCAGAGTTGTATCCAGTGGTGTTCTTTGGTATTACGGGTGTTTAATCTTTGGGCTCTGGTATTAGAGAATTAGCTACCTTTCAAGTGTATGTGTGTGTCTGTAAAATCCCTAAGGCTAAATGGGACACTCAAACGATCTCCTCATCAGAAGGATATGGTAATAGCCACGGGTTCCAACGCCACGCGGAACTGCAGCCCCGACATCAGCTGGCACGAAGTTTCTATTGTTGATGGCACATTCATTCATTCATTCATTCATCAGGTTTCGGTTCTTGCGCCTTTTCTTCTTCGGTTCTCCGGCCGGCATTACTTCGGCGTCTACTTTGGGGATCTTTTCTCTGTGTGCCGCCTCAGGTTTCCTGTCCAATGAGGTCGGCTTTCTCTCTTCTTGACGCGCCTCCATTTCTTGGCAGGCCAACGCCTCATTGTGGTTAGCATTCATCCTTTTATCTCTCATGACGGTCATTTCTTCTTGCCATGCTTTCATATTGGCCTATTTGTCGGACTTCAATCTGGCCAGCAATTCCTTGTGGCCGATCTCCACCTTTTCTTGCATGAACCGCACAGCGGCGTCTGTGTTAGCTTGGTTGCTGCTAGCTTCTTCTCGCATAGCCAGCAGGAGTTCCATCATTTGTTGCGACTCCATTTCTCGTGTTATTGGTGGTTTTTGTGTTTCAAGTTCGATCTTGTCGGTCACGTGTGCAAGTCCAATCCTTTAAATTCGATCCGATTAATCCGAACCTATCCCACTTCTGACACCAGTTGTCACGTGTTGGATATGTCACGCGACAAATAACTTGACGTGGGTCTCGGATTTAGCGAATTTTTATTGGAAACTCACACTCACACACCTTACAATTATTACCACTTGACTTCTGGCCCAGTACTCCAATGCTAGGTCTCAACTATCTTTGGCCGTGGTTGGATCTCAACTGTCTCTGGCAGCAGCTATCCCAAGATTGTCTCGTTCTCAATACTCAATGCTTCCAAGTCCAAGTCCAAGTCACATTGCGACTGACGGTCATTAAGACAGTAAGTCCTGGTGTCGAGCCCCATCTGGGGCTCATGCCCAGATATTTATTACTGTTTGGCATTTTCGGTCTTGTTTCTGTGGGGCGCCCTCTCGTTAGAGGACACCCATCGCCAAGTTTCGATCTGACGTGTTCAGCAATCCGTTGCTTCGGGAACGCTCCTTGTAGATTACACCGGTAACGCGTTTCGTCTCATCCGTTGTTACTCAACGACAATTCGTTGCTACTATTTGTTGCTGCGGGAACTCCACAATCTCCACGTATTCGCTGTCGTGGACGTGTCCGTTCCGATTGTAGCGGTTGTCGCGGTGATGGACGTAGGGTAACGCGTCACAATATTATTCGGGAGACTAGACGCTATGTAGAGAGTTGAGCAATATGGCGTAACATCTTCATTGGTTACATACTGTTTCGTGTTCCAGATATATATATAGGAATTGTGTTAACCTTCAAAAGGACAAATATATTCAGTTTTAATACTTTAAGTTTTAATCTTGATATATCGTATGCCTTTTACGTTTATCTTTTATCTTATTTATGTATTTCTATTTTAATTGTAACACCAACTGGAGGCAAAGGACCGCGCCATAGTTCTAGCGGTTAGTCGCTCGCTTCCCACCAGGGCAGCCCGGTTTCGATCCCGGGGTCTGGTCAAGTGCGATTTGTGGTGGACAAAGTGGCGTTGGGGAGGGTTTTCTCCGAGTACTTCGGTTTCCCTTCCCAAACTTCATTCCTCCAAATTCTCCATTATCATAATTACCCGGAGCAGGTTACAATAGGCCAATCAGTGGCCGCCGTGCCGAGTGGACCCAGTTGGATTCCACCCGACACTAAGCGAATTAAAAGAAATTAAATAAAAACTGGAGGCAAAATTTATGTTAGTGTATAATACGACACGTTGTACTGATATGGATCCATATCGGTAGTTCAATAACTAAACGTATTCCTATATTTAACTACCGCCGGTCACGGTAGCCGAGCTGTCTAAGGCATGTACTGTCTTCGCTCGCTTGGAAACCGGGATCGTGGGTTCGAATCCCACTCAGGGCATGGATGTTTAGTTTGTGTGTGTGCGTTTTTCTGTGTTTGTGTACAGGTAGAGGCCTTGCGACCAGCTGGTCACCCCCCCCCTCGAAATCCTACTGAATGTGTAAGATCTAGAAGAACCGAAGTGAACGGAGAAGTTCATGGAGGTAGGCCTAGGTCCACTGGGCCTGTAGTGCTAATGAAAAAAAATATATATAATTACCTAATGATGGCTTTTACGATCGAAACATGTATAGCAGGAATAAAGATCGAATTGTCAAAAATTAAAACTGAGTATATTTGTTGTGTTGACGGTTAATTCCCATATATATATGTACATATACTCGTATTATATATATATGGCGTGACATCTTGTTAAGTTTTGGAGTTCCAGAATTTTCTTTGTCTAAGAGTATATTGCGTCATATAGAACGTTCTAGAAGAATGCATGATGCGATCCTAAAAAGTAGTACGATTGGCTGCAATTTGTAACTCGGGAAAGCACCGGGAATAAACAGCCTATCGGAACTGTTACTAATTGTGTACTGCATTATGATAGTGTTTCGCGTGATATTGCGCATCTCTCTGTAGCGGAAAGAAGAAGCCTACGGACCACTAAACGTGTAAGACGTAGGTCACTGTTTCCCGTCAGAGGACAAAAACAAAAGAAATTGTGTACTGGTGAATACCTCAACAGTTTATATTCGTAATGTGGATGAGTGCAAACTAGTATCATATGAAGCTAAGAATAATAAAGTTAACTAAGTGCTTAGTGACTTGCTGCGTATCTAATTTTGTTCTGCTCACCTGCCTGTCCAAGGCCCGTAAAAGACCCTGAGAGGAGGTCTATTGCTCTCCGATGGGAGAAATGGAGCCCAATTCTCACGACACTCAGACCACGAGACGATTGTTTAGAGGTGACAACAGTGCGACCACCAGCAGGAAGAGAGTCGACGAACACTAGGTAAAGAAGTCAGTTGCAACTGATCTGCTAACGAGTATGAAGAGAAGCTCTGCAGTATACATAGAAAGACTACAAAAGATTCAATGCGATTAACCCATGGCACGGAGGCCTAATTTACTGTGATGGAATAATCCGTTGCTAGACAACGGCTCCTTAAAATATGTTTCCGTAACAACGAGTGTGCAATGACGCCTGAAAGCCGGAACAAACAATTGCTAGACAAGGCTTTGGTAAACATGTATTCTCAAGTAAGATTTGAGGCTTTCACGGCGGTGACTATGAAGAAAGCAGTCTTTTGGGATTTGGCACCGTGTATATGTGGTGTTAACCGACGTTTAGGAGGAACGTCAGTTAACACTACATATACACCGTGCAAAATCCCAAAAGACTGCTTTCTTCATGTATTTTCGAGGTTACGCAGTCAACAGTGAGACCTCCGTTGTTAGGTAGCAAGTCGCTAG